ACACACACACACACACACTCACACACACACACTCACACACACATACACACACACACACACACACACACACACGCACACAAATACATGATAATCTCTCACCATGATAAACGCCGTACACAAGGCAGGCCGCGATGAACGCCCCACAGATTTGACCAATCACGTGGAAGGGGTAGCGTTTCCATGGCAACCGTCCTGTCAAACACATGGTCAGGCTGATGGCGGGATTGACACAACCACCTGGGACATGGGTACAGACAAGTGTTGGTGAGATTAGTTGTGCCAATATTATTAATGAATGAGGTAACATGAGATGAGATAAGATTAGATTAGGAAAGTTAACATTTTTGAAATGGGGAAATATATAAGAGATTGTATTATTGAAGTGATATAAGATACGACATGGTTATGTTGAGACATTCTAGACTAATTTAGTTGTAGTAAAATTAGGAAATGATACTAGGTGATATGAGATGAAATGAGGTGAGATGAGATGAGATGAAATGAAACATGCTGATATTTTTGACAAGTTGTAACATGAGATTATATTATTGAAGTGATATTAAATTAGAAATGATTTTGTTGAGACGTTAGTGCTAATGGAATTAGACATGACGGTGTTAATGAAATGCTATTAAAGTAAATGTGATGGTAATTTTGAAATGGTATCAATGTAAACATGATGGTATTTTTAAAGCGATATTAAAGTAGACATATTGGTAGATTATATTAGATTAGACATATTGGTATTTTTGAAATGATATGCAGTTGACATGATGGTATTGTTGAAATGACATTTAATTTGACGTGATAGTATTGTTGAAATCATATTAAAGTAGATATGATGGCAATGCTGAAATGATAAAATTAAAGCAAATATGATGGTATTTTTTAAATGATATTAAAGTAGACATGATGTTTTTGGTATAAGATGACAGAAATCAAACACAGAAATGATAAAGTGAGATAACATGGAATCAAGTTGAATACGATGTTAGTATGATTAAGAGAAATGAGATTAGACATTATGATTCTGAGATGGGATTAAATGAATTAAGACATGTAAATATTGGGATTAGAAAAGATTGGATACGATTCTAAGCATCTCCCGCTCCTCCAAATAATTGTAAGCCTTCTTCTTCAAATAATTCTAAGCCTTCCTCTCTTTCACTAATAGTGGATTCAATCTTCACAAGGCTTGGTGGGCAATGTTTGTTTCGCTTTTCTTAAAGAGTTTCTGAACCACCACCATATTTTTTTCTGTTTTCTACCTATCTATTTTCTATTGATTTGTTCGCCCCAATAGTTGTTCGTTTCTTTAATTAGTAGCATGCTGAAGTACGATACAATTTACCCTGTCTCGAATCCTGAACAAAGCGGGTTTTGTTTTGTTTTGCCTTGTTATTTCGTTTGTTTTGTTCATTTGTATTTTTTTTTTGGTTGCTTCTTTTTGCTTAATTTAGTTTTGTTTTGAGAAGGAGCTGTTCTGGTGGATTTCAAAAGTGGTCTACGGTATTGGTTCCGTTGGGTCTTGGAACGATTTTAAAATACGAAAGATATTCTAAAAGTGACGGAAGAGCCGCTAAGTTCGCACTGAATCATAAACATTTTTATAAAAATAAAGTCAAGAGAAAGATAAATTATACGCAACAATGTTATTTATACGGTTAAAATAACCTTCACCCTCCACCCTCACCTCTTCCCACACATATGCGCCCGTACACACTTTTATCTAAATATAACATTATCAGGCATATTTCGGTTGTCTCGTATCAACTTTAACTTCCTTTGAGAAAGAAAATTGTTCCGTTGCAAAATACTCTATGCGCCAAATCTAGGAATTTCAGGAAAAACTCCTGTCCAGCCCACAATCCTATGATGAGACATGTCTTGGAAATATTTTTGTTCTCTTCAATATGCACTGTCGCCCTCGATATTTAAGAATACTAATATTGCCATTCGTTCATACTTTTGTTTTCTGAGAATGATTATTATTTAATGTTTCACAGTTCTGCATAAAATGAACATAGTGCGCGTTTTGCATAGAGTTTTTCAGATTTTATCTTTCTTTGAGAAAATACTGTTACTTTACTCCACCTCATTGGCTCCGATAACCATATCAGTCGTTTTCCAAACACATTTATCTGTATTTACCTTTAGAATGTGCTTTTTCATCCCACTGTACATCTACATTCCCTTTGCTCCCAATTCTCAACTCCACTCTCTACCAGTCTCTACCCCCTCCCTTCTCACTGTTTCCTTTCCTCTCCCTCTCCTGTGTGTCTCCCCCTCCACCCCCTCCCATTCCCTCCTTCCTCTCTCCCTAGCACACACACACAAACACACACACACATGTACACACACACACACATGTTTAACTCTCTCTCACACACACACAAACACACAAACACGCACACAAACACACATAGACACACACACACACATAAACATACACATCCAAAAACCTACACATACACACACACACACACACACACACACACACACACACACACACACTCTCATATTCACACAAACACACACCTACACACAAAAACACAAACTCTCTATCACACAAACAAACAAACAAACACACACACACACACAAACCGACCCAACCCTTTTCCAGCACACTATCTTCCAGTCGGCTGACAAACGTTTCCTTTGACATCTTATCAAACATAGCAACCACGACCTTAGACCTTTTATCAGACCTAGGAACTAAGACCTTTTACAACACAAACTAAAAATATAAAATTCGACAGTGAAATAAAACGTCATGAAAATAATACATTAACCCTTCACAGGCATAGCGCACACATAATTATACTAATAAATGTGTAAAGGTGTTCTTGTAGTTACGTTCGTTAAAGTCCATGATTCGTTTGTTTACATCCAGAGAAGAAATCCAGAAGTCTTGATGACCAAATACTATTTGAAATAGGCTACATAAAGAGCAGGGATGCTACCTAACTGCAAAACATCAAATTAGGATAAAATTCAGGTGGGCATGCCCCCCTGAACCCCCCCCCCCCTCACCCCACCTCCATATTTGTATTATTTGAATTTGTATTGAAATCCCCCTGCTCTTGACTTTAACGAACGAAACTATAAAATCACCATAAAAGTCGTGACGAGGTGGAATCAGGCTCTCGTCAATTTTTTGGCATACGGAGGTAGTAGAACCACCTTTCAGCTTATATATTTGTTAAATTTTATATGAAAAAATAACTCAATTATCTTGAAAAAAAGTCCAGACATTTGGGATTGAAGATGGTGGGGGGTCGTCTGATATCAGACATATAATTAGCAAGAAAATTGCCGCTGGTGACTTCGAAAGCTGGAGTGTCCCTGGAATCTATATATTTGCATTTGTGTGTTTTTGATCAACGTTAACAGTAAAGTTTCTTTGATTTTACTATTTTAACGAGCACTTGATTTCACCACGATGTCTGATATGCAGCAGGCTAAAATCGATATTTCAGCACAGTTTGAAACATCACACACAAACCAGAAGCACAAATGTGCATTTTTCGTAGAATTTTTCCTTTTGCCTGTCATTTAGAGTTTCAAATAAAGAGAACGGAACTGAACATTCTGTATTAATACAAAGATGTCTTTTTAAAAAGAAAACTCAATGCCCCAAGAAGTTATGCTTCTTTAATTCATTTTTTTAATGCCTAAAATTGCCCGTCTTCAATCGCCATCATTTACGGACGTTGTCAAATAGGCCCGCGCACTGATTTAAGGCAGAGAGCTGGAACGATAAAGGTTGGGGGTGTCTGTAAGGCGGCAAGGAGTGGGGTACCGACGGCAGGACAGTGGGTGGTTGGCGGGTGCTGCTCTGGTGTAGTCATATTATCATCCCTTTCTCCCTTTCCTCTCTACCTCTTTCCATTCCCTCCCTCCCCCTCTCTTCCTTCCCTCCATGTTCTCTTCTTATTCTCCTCTCCACACCGTCACTCTTTCTTTCCCCATCCCTTCACCTTTCCCTCCAATTTCCCCTCTCCTTCTTTTCCTCTCCACTTCTTCCCCTTTCCCCATATCCCTCTCCTCTCCTTCTTACCCTCTAAATACCCTTTCCCTTTTCCTCCTTCCGTCTCCCTCTTCACCTTTCTGCCCTCTCACTTTTCCCCTCTCCCCCCCCTC